TATTTGTTTCCCTATGAATATTCCCATAACAGATTTTTGTTGTCCTAAAAAAAAGAATAAAACGCTATATCCTATATCTATAAAAAAGCAATTGAATAGTATGTTTGGTCCAATGATAATCGGGAGTTACTTTCTGTCGTTGTACGGCTCGTCCAGTGAGAAGCCTGTTTTTGGAGAAATGCTGTTGTATCTACCCAATGAAACGCTAGTGTTACTCTGTCAGACGTTGAAGGTGTGTGTAAAAACGTACAAAACCAGCACAGTTGTGTGCAATGAGTGTGCAAAAGGATACATATCCTGCACAAAGCTGTGTGCAAAAAATGTCCAAAAAACTACGTAGACGCACATTCTTACACATCGCTCAAATTCCGCACATTTTTGCACAAATCCTGCACACTTTTTTCCTATGGTGTGACAAGCACACTTGCTATGTAATATTACTGCTGTCGCGGTTGTCACCATTGTTATCACAAACAGAATAATGCCAATTTCTCCATAGGGTAGCTCAATATGTTTTGCCTTTTAGTTGAAAGATGTCGGGTCGACAATTGTTTTGAAAAGAACAATTTCGAATGTTGAAGAATGTTGATGCTATAAACAAACTAAAAGCAAGGAAAATAAATCGTTAAAATGGAGACGGTCTGCTTTTTAAAGATACTTTCCATCAAATAACCTAACTATGTGTAGTATGAGTGGAAAACTTGAAAAAGACAGAGGTGTGTGCACCCATATTCCATCAAGTTTAGCAACACAGATCCTAATTGCAAAAGATCAGGATTGGATATTAACATATATTTGGTGCTCATGGGAGTACGGTGGCTGCTTCATATACACAAATACAGTATACACAAAATGAACTTGAGAAAACAAGACCGACTTGACGGGTTTTGTCCATTGGCAGACTTGTGTAGAATGTATCGAAGCCTTACACCAACTTGATTTTTGGTATAGGCTACCGTTGTATTGCTTATTGAGAATATATCCAGTCGTTTGTATAGAACCAGATACGTTTTATCCAGCTCTTCCAGAAAACGATGTCTTTGTTATTCTTTTCTCTTTGGAAGGACTATGATATACTGAGCCATGCAGACAAGGTATATCGACACGTTTGTCATCGAATGCTCCGCATCGGGCATGTATAAGCGAGTGAGTGAGCATCACCGTCGCGTAATTTCCATATCCGTTATTTTAAGATATCGTACATTTCGAAATGAAAGATACTTCATTTTCCCAAATGTACATCCGTGTTTGCCATGTATGTATGTACACTTGATTGAAAATGCCCCTTATCAACGCGCCATTACTGGTATTTTAGCTTTCAGTAAGGATGGGTACTGAGCACGCAGTGTTGTCCATCCAATTATGCGTACATAGAGGTGCGTACATAGGTCAGCACGAATGTTGGGTCACCTCATGCGTCGTAACGATAACAGAAGCTTTAACAACAGCAGATAATTGAAAGTACATATAAATCGTATTTTTGGTGCGCGACCATGGGGAGGTTTTGTCTACTATTTCCTCGATGTATAGGTATGTGCTATTTAAGAAGGTTTGTAGACTTCAGAATTCTTGGGTACTGCTTCTTGTTTTCTTGTAGTAATTCTTTTTTGCTCTGAAGCGAAGGTTCTCAGAGAGAAATATTAGATTGTACCACATAGGACGAACAACTGCGCGCTCGATAGACACCACCCTATTCACGCAAAAGGCTGTTCTACGCAATGTCAATCAACCCGGTATCTTTTATCGGTAAGCGAGCAAAAAAAACATACTAGGCTTGCGCGGATTCCCATTTTTGTTGTCTTTTTCGTTTCATGAACCGAATAAGTGATTTGGCTAGCTTGTTTTTCAGATTGACCGTGATGCTTCCGTACGACTTCGTCTCTGCGTGTGACATGCATACCGATGGAAACCTCTGAGAGTGTTGGCGCGCATATTTGTTCTTTTACTGCGGCCGCGTGGTTGCTCTAACACACAATTGAGCCTTGCAAGCACAAGTAGACGCGGGGCGCTCTACATTATAACACAATGTAATCTGCTAGCATATAAAAAGGAAAAGCTGTCCTTAATACAAAAGCATGCATTTACTTGTTCTTGCTTCGTGAATATAATTCATAGTGACGACAGCTATCATGAGGGTTAAAAGGCGTGTGTACCTAAACACTAAAACGTATTATTAACGAAAAAATAAAGGACTGCAATGCCGTCACTTTGCTCATACACACAATTCGGGGATGTAGTGCAGTGCTCGGGACTATTGACGGGATCGAGGCAGTAGATTATATGTACTACGTAAGTTTAATTGCCATATTCCATGTCGATGGAAGTTCTATCCGTGATTCTGCTCACCACCTGTGATATGTAGAGCTGCCATTACACATGTGCACATGTCACTAGTACCCTGAACTGCTGTTGGTTGGTGGCATATACGCCAAAGTACAAAGAAAGTAAGTACTTGTAGCATTGGCATCACAAGTACGAATGCATGGATTGTATATCTGTCCAAAGAAAGATCTCAAGAGAAAGAATCCAAAGATCGCCCTTGTTTTCTTTTTTCTCATTCTCATCAGACCCGAGCTTTTTTGGCTTAAAGTTGACGCATAATTTTCCCCCACTCTCTTTTTTTTTTATCAAATCACATGCTACTGGTCCAGAACAAACTGCAGAGCATTGTTTATAGTAGACTTAGCAGAAGCAGCAGTAATCCAAATCAAATTTTAGAATCAACGTGACGCTAAAATGTATGTGCTTGTAACAATGAGGGGCGGGGGGGGGGGCTAGAAGAGAGGGATCGGGGTCAATTGGTTTTGTTTTCCCTTCATCGTCTTTTTCTCTCTTTACATGTTTGATCGTGTACGATTATAAAGAAGATGAGGATGACAGTAAGCATGATTCGCTAATGGTTTTTTGCTGAACAAGTACAAGCTTGAATGAATCGATGTAGTCATGCATTTGAAGTTTTGTATGCATGTTCTTATTGTTACTACTACACAGCATCATACCATTCGTTTCATACAATAAGGGACAAAGCAAGGGTTGTGTATATCACTTGATCATGGTGAAGGGTCAGCACTCTAGAAGAACGGTGGCAGTCGAAATTACGATCTGGAGATGATGAAACACCCTTCATCATTGTCAAACACACAGAAAAAAAGCATCATCCTATCTGTCGTCGGATCATAGAAGCGTTGGCTAAAAAGAAACCTCCCCTTTTTTTGTTTGTGTGAGAACTTTTTGATAGAAATGCTTATTGACATTTCCGAAGCATCGAGACGTTACCTCAAGCTTATGTCTGTGCTAATCTGGTCGTGGTTGTATGTTCATCGCTCAAAGTGTCTGGTATTACATGCATGACGTATTGTCGGTAACTATAAAAGTCTAAATACCCTAAACAGGATGCATGACCAAGAAAAGCCCGTCAAAAAGCAACCCCGCCAACGAATTTTGTTGACATGCCAATTTCCCCATTCTACTCTTGCGTACCACATTTGCGAAATCACAGACAACCTGACGATCCGGGGGGTTCAACTCCTCCATTGCTTCTCTGAGCAGCTGTATGGGCGTTGTTGAAGTTCTATACCTTGGTGCAGTTGGAGATAGAGAGAGAGAGAGATATATATATATAAACAACATGGTGTCACTTTTTCTTTATTAATAGACGACGACGATGATGAAGTGTTTGTTGTTTACGGGTCCGGTGGCCCAAAAAAGAAAAGATCAGCCTAGCAATCTGCGCCAGGCTGCGGATCGTACATGCCATATATGCATGCGTGGTGTTTATACGGCAACAAAAATATGAAAGATCCCACAGCTCCTGCCAAACTAGGGAACTCGCAGGACCACAATCCCAACAGACATAAACAAACCAAAAAAAAAAACAGCCCAACCAAAAATACGTTAGCTTCGATACATCAAAAGAACATGCACATGCAGCAAAAAGAAGAATGCAATGTACACTTGCAGCAAGCAAGCAAGCAAGCAAGAAGGACAGTTTATTCGATACATGCAGTAAGAAATTCAACAAGAGAGAGAGAGAGAGAGAGAGAGAGAGAGAGACGATCTAGATCCTCCTCCTCTTCACAGTTCTTTTTTACCTGTACACTCTTTAAACTTGGTCCCCCCCCCTCTCTCTCGTTCAGTTCTTCCTTAAAGACATGTCAAGGCTGGGTCTCCACCCTCTTTCCCTCGATCTCTCTCTCTCTCTCTCCCTCTCCACTCCACTCTCCACCCCCCCAAGCCAATCAGCGTCTTTCTGTTTTCTCCTAACACATAGTCCTTTCCCCCTGTCCAGTGGCGGTTTTTCAACGAGCGAACCTCGGCTCGTTTCCATAAACATACAAAATGACGATACTGTGTGGAATAAAGACGACATGGCGGAGCAGTTACAGCAGCTATTAGGGGAGCAACCTCACCACCACCCCCCCTCTCTCCACACCGCGGGGGTGGATGATAGTGGATGCGTAATGAGACAAAACAGAAAGGGTTTTTTTCTAATCAGTTTCATCCGGAAATCAGTGTCACCGATTCGCCTTTGTAAATGAAAAATCTGGCTTTTAAGGCTGGCTACCAAACTTGCTTGCGTTTTGATTGGTGTTTGTGTAGAGGGCATCTCATAGGGCCACCCCCCCCCAATGAGATTGACACTATGACAAAAAAGTTGTCATGGAGAGAGAATCTTTGTAGCCGCCGTTCCATGACCGACTGCAAACGTGGTTGATGGGACGGGTTACAAACAGGCATCAGCACGTTAACTCCGTCATCCATCCACACACACACACTTTACGTTGTGTGTATTTCTTCTCGTGACAAGCCGCATTAGTGTGGAGGAGAAGGGTGCGCTGCAAAGGGACCGAACGATTTACAAAAATGGTAATTCGTTTTTCCATGCTGTTACCACACACGCACACGGCGAGAAGAAGCTCTTGTTTTTTTAGTGCGAGCGTTACGTGTGGCCCGAGCATCTTTCTTTCCTATTGACATGGACTAGCAGCAATAAGAAAAAAAAAGAGCGATCTCTGTGGCAAACTTCATTGGTTCGATGCTGGTGCTACATGCACTGTGATAGATAGCCCTGTGCGAAAGCGAGAAGCAAGACAGAGGCTAACCTGTAATGACATAGGTCTGCGATTGGGGTAAAAACCGGCTTATCCAAATTCTTGGAAACCCTCTGTCCTTCTTGTCCTACGTGGAGAAAATAAGTGTCGGGTTTCGGGAAAAGCTTCAAATTTAAGCTCTTGGTGATCACAAGTAATATAGACTGCCTCATCATCATCATCATCATCATCCGCCGTCTCTCTCTCTTTTGTTGTTATTATTTTGAAAGAGTGGCCCATATCGGGGTTGGCTGTAGGATGGAGAGAGAAGGAATGCAAGGTAACTTACATCATATAAGCGACTTGTGCATGGATTCGAATATGCGAGGGATGCGACTAGCCACATCAGCTAGGCCGATCGAAAAAACACACAAAGAAAATATGCGGAGTGTGTAAACCCAGCGCCATGACGACATGGCCCATTGTTGGTGGGGGGGGGGTGTGCATAAGCAGCGTAAGGGGGGGTGGGCCTATCAGAGCTAGGAGAAAAAAAAGAAGAACCATGATGTCATGGCAACAAGAACCAGGCGGCATTATATAAAAGGCTCGCCCTGCCACTTGGTTTTTTTGAATTTTCGTTTTATTTCTTTACTGACTACTTACTCTTGCACAACCAACACAGCTTTTCTCTCACAATGGCCTCTCTGTTCTCCAATCCCAGCACCGTTCCAGCCTCCAGCACCGCTTCACATCACCACCACCACCACCACCATCATCATCATCATCATCATCGCTCTATTCGATCATCACTGACTCGTGAAGACCTGCTGGCCATGGCACGAAACGAATATGCCCGACAATTATGCAAGTTCACCGAAGCCCAATTGAAGCAACGTGTGCCTACATGCTACACCAACAGTGCCTACATACGACAAGCCAACAGCAGCAGCAGCACCCACCGCAACGGTTCCTCCTCCTCCTCTACTTCTTCTTCGCCCTCTACATCCAGTAGCAATAACAACAACACCACTTCCTCCTCTATACTAAGCGATCAGACGACGCATAGCAGTAGCACCAGCGATAGCAATTAGACTCTCCATGCATCACACAACTCTCTCTCTTTGACTCTCTCTCAAAGTAACAAGCAAAACCACGTTATCGTTCATCATTATATCCCTTTGCAGGCACATCACAGCTCCTTACTTTGCCACCTTTCACTTGGGAATTTCTCCTTTTATACCTCATCTCTTCTCCATCTCAAATAGCGCGCATTCTATCAACTCAACTCATTCACTTACTCCAATAACCTGTTGTTCTCACATTTTTCCTTTTTAAAAAAGAAGAACGGCTTTTGTATATCACTTTTCTAATTTACACATATACTACTACCACTACTCTCTGCAGAGAACCAAAAACACACACACACACTCACACACACACACAATGCATCGTCTCATTTCAGCATGTCTCCTGACCTCTCTATCTTTCTCATTTTGCCTTGCTTCTTTTCCTTTCTTTACCTGTGTATATATAAATTCGCTCCTCCCATTCTGCAAAATGCAGGAAAAAAATAAATAAATGAATAATCATAAACAAATGTGCAAAAAAAAAAAAAATAATTAATTCGGGCTTTTTGTAATACTCTAAAAATAGCAGCATATTCTTCTTGCAGACTTTTTCTTTGGCCACGCTGCTGCTTTTCCCCCTCTCACTCACACCCCGCATTCGTTCTACGTATTGATGTGCAATAAGAAAAAGAAAAAAAGTGCAAATGCATCAAGGGGAAGGGGCTAATAGCTACACTTTACTGCCAATAAAGTAGACAAAGCACAGCAGTGATATCTCTTTTCGCTTGCGTTGCCCTCCTTTGTTGTTTTTGTCGTCAGTTTAGTAGTATACGCTTTTGCCTTGTCACTGATGCCAGCTACCATCATCCCAGCTAACAGCTCAGTGTATATGCTCGTCTGTCTGTTTGTTTGTTTGTTTTTCCCCCCCTCTGGCCTCTAGTCTTCCCGAATGAAGAACACCTATGTCTACCATCAACATATTTGCGCTTACTTTAGCAAAAAGAGCTTCTTGTTTTTAACAAGGAGCTGTAGTAGGTGCATATCAATACCCTGTGTATAGTGACGTAGATCCGAGGAGATGCCATGATTTACACTACCAGGGTCATGAGTAATATAGGCTACGATTGTGCTGTCGTCGTATGTTGTACCCTACGCCCCGAACCTCTACCACCCTTCTTTTCCACGTCGAATCACAGTAATAAAGCTGCTTGAGAATCCAGCATATATCAGTTATATTCGCTTTGCTTGTTTGCGGCGGATCCACCTTATTTACTACCTCAATAAGTGCTGAAAAAGACCCACTTGATGCATAATCTTTCTGATCATTCTTGCTGGCACATAGCACATAGTGACTGAGTCGCTGAGAACATCATTGGATTAGAGATAGCTACTAATGATCTAACCGGTTGCTCGTTGTGCGCAATCATAGTAGGTTTTTGTTACATATTCCATGACCCGAGTTTTCTACCCTTTGGGAGATATCGTGTGCGCTTCATCACCACATCATTGTGTACTGTCTTTACACCCGATACGCCAAAGCCTGAAAGCATAGTAGTCTATGATACTGATGGGCGATAGCCAACAACATAACCAAATCCATGGTTGTTTTTCAGTCTACGCATTCTAGTTGCCTCAGAGTGTATGGTTGTAAAATTTAAACATTTATTTGTTATTCCCATGGCAATGGTTGCTACACGACCCCATCTTTTGTGATATAAGGTGTACTACAATTGGTAACCGTTGCTTCTATAAATTCTGGAAAATCACTATTGGTAGGACTTTAGCAAAATGTAAACTTTAATCAATGGAGTTGAGCCGTATTAGAATTCTACATAGAGCCGTTGCCCGTTGTACTTACTGATGTATGCAGCTTTTTATATCAAAAAACACAGCCCCATGCAATGGCAGATTTACAATGCTAGGTTAGCAAAACAAAGAGTCTATTCGAGTGTGAGCATCGTCATGCACATGTCTGTAACTTTACATAGACTGTATCCGTAAAGACAGTAACGTTATAGGCCTTGGCAGAACTCGAACAAAGGGCTTTTTTGTGAAACTCTAAAAATAGCTAATTCTGTTTCGCTGCTACTATATAGTGTGCCTGACTCTTAAAATTAACAATGTGCGTGCCCTGTGCTGCTGCTGTCCTTATGAGGTTCGCGGGTGCGTGTGGAGAAGGAATAGAAAAAGGGCATTTGCCTTGCCGTAAAAGGTCTGGACCCCCTTAATCATTGTTTCACGCCAGCCCGCATCAATTAAGCCCTACTATTTTTTTTTATCACTTAATACACGTACAAAATCACACACAGAATACGCACAGAGGAGCAAAGCAAAAACGAAAAGAGAGAGCGAGAGAGAGTGAGAGAGGGCACCTTTGCTTCCAAAGCCATACACATACACACACTCCTTTATATACACACACAATAGTATTCTTTTAAGCCTTTTTACTTGCTTGTTCTGTCTACTAACACACACCCCCCCCTTTTTTTTTTCCAACTTTAAACACTTTGGAAACCTTCTTGTTTTACTCGACCCTTTCCAAATGTCTTCATTCGACATTCCAACGGTACTTTCACCCACGCAAAAAACGTTACTCAGCGCTTGGTGGAAAAAAGTAACCATCGCAAACCGTAAAGGAGGCGAGATGGACTTTGCAGAAACTGCTGCTGGTAAATATATATTTTATTGCTGTAGCTAGTTCTCTGACACTGCTATTACTACTACTCCTACTAGCGTCTTATGAAAGCAGTAAAATAAGAGTAGAGTATGTTTACAGAAAAAAAGCTTATTTAATGTTTGTGATGTGGCTATGATACAATAACAGAAAAAAGAGTGTTTGGTCTGTCGCTTTCACATTCCATCAAGTACGCTCACTCCAGCATTTCATACGTCGATGGCCAATCTGGCAATCGCTGTTACGGCATAATTCCCACCATTATAGCCAAATGTGGCTCATTCTTAAAAGAAGAAGGTTCGATTTCGCTTACACACGCAGGACACTTGCCCTCTTGCCGTTTCAAATGAAAAAAGTCCACGACCACGCTAATGACTTGCTACGCTATAATACAATAGGATTGATGGTTGAAGGCATCTTTCGAATGTCAGGCAGCGCAAAACGGATTGGGATGCTACAGCGAATGTTTGACGAATCAGACGACTATGGAGCTCACTTTCATTGGGGAGGAGGATACACTGTCCATGATGCAGCCAATGTTATGCGGCGCTTTCTAAATCACCTTCCGGAGCCTGTAATTACGTTGGATTTTTACCGGCCATTTAAAGATACTATGCGTATGTCTTACCTGTCTAAACTCAAAAAAGGGAAAAACAAAGCTAGTTAGGATTGGATCACAAGACACACAAACACACAAAGACAGAGACGCTAAACTACTCCTGTAACAACATACCTTAGACGAAGAACATCCGAGTCTGGAAGCCAAGGTTGAAGCATTTCAACATCTCATTGATGAATTGCCTCTGGTGCACCAGTATCTCCTGTTGTATATCATGGATATGCTCGGCCTGTTTGCAATGACAAGTGATGAAACGCGTATGGATGTCTCGGCACTGGCTGCTGTTTTTGCACCGGTAAGTACTATTTGAGTTCTTTGAACTGATTAGGTGGTGCTATGCTATGCGGAAAACGAGTAAAAAAAAAGATGATGCTGATGGTGTTGTTGCTGTTGTTGGTTACTAAAGAACATACAATATCATACAGGGAATGCTCTCTCACCCAGACGACGAGTTGAATCCTGCCGGATACAAGGAATCACAACGCGTGCTTGAGTTCTTGATCGAACATCAGGACAAGTTTGCTGCTCCACGATCATGTATTCCCGCTAATCAATCATTGATCCCTCGACAAATCAACGTATCAAAAGAATCAGGTAAGCTTCTTGCCAGCAGTTCAGCCCCGTCTTTTTTTTTGGAATACCTGCGCAAATCACTGATGGTTCTGTTTTGTGAAAAAAAAAGTAGTTTCGGAAGCGACGTTACGACAAAGACCATCCAACAACACTTTAGGCCTAGCAAACATCGCACAGGATCTTGAACAGCACAGCCTTGGAGGAGGATCATCAGCATCAGCAGGAGCAGCAATACCAAAATTGAAGCGTTCAGCTACAACATCGACACCACCGAACAAAGGAGGAAAGAGACCGGGTCTTCCATTCGGTAATGACAGCAACAACAACAACGACGACACAGCAACGCCTTTACCGACGGTACCCACGTCACCTTCCCAAATAAAACGATCCAAGACAGTGCCGAGTAAGCGACAAAAAGAGAGCAGCAGTAGCAGTGAAGCCGCGGTACATCAGGGTAAGACAACCAAAAGAGAAACTGGTATTGGTTGGGAAATCGAGGGATCACAGCAAGGAATCCAGAATAGGGAATGCAGGAACGGGAATAGTCGTTTGAGGTATCCACCCGTACCATTCATTCACTGGTCTTTTTTTTTTTTTTTTTGTGTAGATGAGAAAAAAGCACCTGGCCGATGGAAATCGATTCGTCGGGTACCGGGTGGGAAACAGCAGCAACAGCAGCAGCAGCAGCAGCAGCAGCAACAACAACAACAACCGCAACCGGCGGCAGCACATGAGCTTGTGTCGCAGTCTTAGCGCGCTTTACATCACATCACACCAAACAAAATCCTGTTCCTGTTACCCTGTAGTAAGTCAGTCAGTTAGCACTGTCAACCATGCTTCACCTACTACTATTACTACTACTACTATTTCTACTATACACTTGGCTTTTTCCTTCTTCTGTACCTTTTTTTGTTTTCCATTATTTACCTGTATATGTATATCCCCTCCTCTCTCTCCCAATATCTCCCCATGGGAATCCGTCTTTCGAAACCCGTGCAACCAGTCAACCAACTCCTTTGCTTTCCTGTATCTCGTCCATCAAACCACTCGCCGCACTATCTGTTCGAACCACAACAAAATACAAATAGATCTATTGTCTGTTACCCACTGCTTTATTCTTGATACAATCGGGCCTTTGGGTGATCTAGGTATTTTAGCCTATGCGTGTGGTGACAACCCTGCACACTCTACACATCTATCATTAAACGTGTTGCTGTGTCTTGGACTCGTGTCGTACGAAACATGAGTGTATGGTGGAACACAACATGAAGAGTTGTCTTGCTGCTATTGATCCAAACACAATTCTTTCCCGCCTTCTTCACCTTCTTCCGCTACATTCCATTTTCGTATTTGCTCAACTTACCATATCCAACCAAAAGAGAGAGAGAGAGAAACCCCCCTCTTTGAAGACAAATGGGCCCTATCTTGGACTCGCGTGACTCAAAAGATCAGGAGATAAGACAGTGTGTTCGCTGACTGGGATTGTCACCTTGCACTCGTAAAAGCATGCTATTCTCTTACGGATTATAAAAAAACCGTTCGATCCATGTGGAGATCGCTTGGGTTGGGCCGTTCATCTTTTTTTTTTTACTGGTTTTGTCAAGGCCCAAAAGAATTTGTGGAGAGAGAGAGAGAGAGAGCCGGCGGGGAAGGAAAAGCAATGGAAGTTCAGGACGTTTGGGATATACCGAGTCGATGGAGAACAAGCGCTGCTGGCTGGTACTGGAGTGAGATCGAAACTCTCTCGCTCTCTCTAACCATCTCCAATTTTTTTTGTTTCTTTGTGTGAGAAATTTCCCGGCAAGTACCATGTTAGACTTGGCCTGTTTCTTTGTTTGTGTGTGTGTGTGTGTGTGTGTGTGTGTGTGTGGACTGAAGAAGTATAACAGCAGCAAACCCCAGCACACTCAGCCTCACCTAATGGCAAGTATGTTATGAACAATGATGAATGATGTGACCCATACACAGCATAATATACGAAACACACACACACACGCACACATAGATACATACAGAGAAAGAAAGAGAAAAAAAGAGACATGTGCCGCGGGAGAACAATATGGTGGCACTACTCACTGCCTCCACACACACACGCGCAAACTCTACAGGAAAGGTGCACACAAAGCACATATGACAACCGTTAATATAGCGAGTAAAACGGACGGGTAAGATGGTATTCCTTGCCAACTATGTCCCATCCCGCTCGCGGTCTGGGGGAACACAAAACTGGTGTGTTCCCCCGCGTTTTTCACTTTGTTCAGTTTGTTCCATCCTGCTGCTGCCTTTTTTTTTTTTTTTGTGATCCGCTGGGAAACCTTGTTTTTTACTTTTTTTGGGAATCTCGGTAAGAGAGAGAAAAAAAAAAAGCACGTTAGAAAGGGTCCCTGCACACATATACACACACACATATACGACCTGCACACACACGACCCTGCAAATATATATAAGGCGTGTACAAAACGACAAGACAGAACCCTTTTTTTTTTCTTTCTTTCAAACCAACCCTTCCTCTCTTCTTTTTTCTTTTTTCCTTCCGTCGTCTTTTAATAACAAACAACAAAGAGGATGCAGGCAAACTGGAGAGTATACGCTGTTTCGCTCTTTGCCGCCATTGGTGGTTTCTGTTTTGGTTATGATACCGGTGTCTTGAGTGTACGTCTTGCTTTCTACTATTCGACCCACACATCAATTGTTTTTTTATACACATTATGCCTGACAAACATGGGATATACTATAGGGTGTGTTGACGATGGAACATTTCATCTACACCATGCGTGGACGCTCGTTTTTGACACCGCTGGAAACTGGTACGCTTACAGGTTTGCTGCTGGCTGGCTGCTTTGTAGGTGCTCTCATTGCAGGTAATATATCATCACCATCCACATGTATACGCATCGTAGCAAGCTTAAAGCAATCATTCATGATATTCATCAACTGTTCCATTACAAAGGTCAATCTGCTGAACTTCTTAGCCGAAAGCGCACAATCATTCTTGCTTCTTGTGTCTTCATGGTTGGCTGTGCCATCCAAACTGCTGCTAACGGCTACGCAATGATGGTTGTTGGCCGTGCCATTGCTGGTAAAAGGATTTATAGGATACTCGTTGTTATTCTTATGCAACCGGAGAAGAGAATGTTGACACTATATATTATTATTCTTCCTTCTAAATAGGTCTCGGTGTCGGTTCTCTATCCATGGTTGTACCTCTTTATCAGGTATGTGACACTACTAGTATGACAGAAATTATGTCATATGATTACTACACCAACATCAGCGTCCTCATTTTCTTTTTTTTTCTGTTACTGATGATGTTGCTACTGTTAGTCCGAGTTAGGTAAGCTTAATTTCACTTTATTCCTGGGGTTGGTTGGTGCTGACGCGGTGTAACTTGCTTGCTCATGCTACCGCCCTTAATTCTTAATGTGTTTCTCACGCTCACTCGCACTTGCTCGTCGTCATCGTATAGCACCCAAGGAAATTCGTGGTCGACTCATCTCGTTGCAACAGTTCATGATTACCGCTGGTCTCATGGTGTAAGTATCCTCTGACAGAAAGATGCTGCGTTCAACAATAACTGTTTACTGACTATCCAAAACATATTTTTTCCACTTTTTTTTTCAAGATCATTCTGGTGCGGTGCAGGTACTCAATATCTTGAGGGTCAGGCTTCATGGCGTATCCCTATTGGTATCCAAATTGCCCCCGGTTTTGTCTTGGCCGTTGGTGCAATCTTTTTGCCTTACTCTCCACGTTGGTTGATCAGCAAGGGTCGCAACGAAGAAGCTTTGACCGTCCTTGCAAACCTGCATGCTGGTGGCGACCGCAGTTCACCCATTGTGAACCAAGAATACAACGAAATCATTCAACAAATTGCATTGGAACGCAAGGTTGCCGTCACTAGCTACCTGGAATTGTTCGCTCAGAAGAACCGCCGTCGTATGATCTTGGGTATCTTTATCCAGATCTTCCAACAGTTCACCGGTATCAACAGTATCATGTACTATGCTCCCCGTATCTTCTTGCAAGCCGGTATTGCCGAATCGAGCGCTACCCTCATCGCCTCTGGTGTTAACGGTGTCCTCAACATGTTGGCTACCCTCCCTGCCGTCTTGTACTTGGACAAGTTGGGCCGTCGTGGAACGTTGATCAGTGGCGCCGTTTTCATGGGTACAGCCATGTTGCTTTGTGGTATTGTCATGGGCGCTGTTGCAGACGTCGTGTATAACGAAGAGACCGGCCAGAACACCGTCATGTTGGGCCACAATCAAAATGCCTCCTACTTTTGCATTGTCATGATTTACTTCTTTGTCGCCGGTTTCGCTTATTCTTGGGGCCCCGTAGGATGGGTCTACCCAGCAGAGATTTTCCCCTTGAACATTCGTGCCAAAGCTACCTCGTTGACCACCGCTGCCAACTGGCTCATGAAGTAAGAACCGCTTTTTAACATCCGTGATATATATATACACACATTGTATTATCCAAGGCATTTGTCACTGACTATAACAACTACTCTTAGCTTTGTCATTTCCCAAATTGTTCCTATTATGCTTGCCGACATTACCTGGGCTACCTACATTTTCTTCGGATGCTGCTGCTACAGTAAGTTATTTCCATTTTCCGGTATAAAAAACACACTTTTGGTGCTTTCCCGCCGAAACTAATCACAATCTCTCTACTTATCATGTGTAGTCATGACTTTCTGTGTTTGGCTCTTCTACCCTGAGACCAAGGGCAAGAGTCTTGAAGAAATGGACCAAGTCTTTGATGGCCCAGTCTTGGTGTACAAGCAAAAACGCTACAACGCTGCTCGCGACCTTCAAGCTGAAGAAAAGGGTAGCATTGAAGATAAGGAGTAATATGTAGCTTTATCATTTAATGCACTGCAGATATTATTTACCATTTTTTCTCTTCAACCTATGCTCCCACTTTATTCCGCCTTTTTTTTCAATCTCTTCACCTTATTAGTAAGACTACACAACTATTCTATTATTATTCTGTAATCTCAAAACCAAATATTAGTTTTTTTTGACCTCTAGAGAAACCATCTTCAATAAAACCACATACTGTACCAAACATACTTTCTATGGCTCACATCCTTACACATTTGTACTAACCATGTACTGTATGTGCATGCTGTTGACTACCTGCCAACAACGACGAGATATGTGTTGTAAGAAGGAACTTGAAAAAAGTCTCTTCATATTTACTGATCTATCTGAATTTATTTGCAAGACAAAGAAGCCATCATTGTCACTTTTTCTTTCGACGAATTATGTGTATACAGTAGCAACAAAAGAAATAACTGCTCATAAGCAAGACGAGTACCAAAGAAAGGGAGCGATTTGATTCTACTCTGTCAAGTGGAAGAATAATCGGTGCGCACAGCTGTGATCATGATGTACCCAGTACGTTGCTCCTGCCTTTCCCTCTTTATATCATGTGCGTAACTTATTGCTTGTCTACCGGCAAGAACATACCTCGCTTCAACCTATTGATCATGTAAGAATTCAATCAAAACCCGATCAATAGGACCACCAGTAGCCGGATAGGTAGAACCAGTGATATTGTACAAAAGCAGTAATTGCATGCGTAAAGTAAACTTGTATCATAGCGACTGCCATTTCTCCTTCTTCTCGATCATCATCCTTTAAGAGTAAAAGCATTCTTATAGTTTCGCAGCTCTTATGAATCTATACAGTCTATTAACAAGGGTGCTCTCGTATCTGGAAGAGCCATATACCTTTGTTTTACGCCGCCATTTCTGTGGTTGCTTACAAATGAGAACACAGTCGTAAGCGGAGGAGATGAGATGGCTCGGTTGTTTATATGTACATGACGCAATACAAAAGTCATTGCCCATTCATCACGCATATTATAATATTATTGCATCATTTACTCATACATTATTTAATACTGTACCTCGTGCCGAGCCAACTCTTACCAACAAAAGTAAGCTGACTGATGAAATGGCAATCTGCATTGTATATGTGTATAGCATGATGTGCCATATAAATTATTCATGGAGGTTACGCGACAGAGATAATGCGACGATGATAACTAAAATAATACAAGGGTCATTCTTTGCCTGTAAGCGCGACGGAGAAGTAACGCAAGCTCAAACGCCATTGACAAGGTGGAATCCGTTTACGAAAAACGAATGGTCAAGAGAAAAGTGGTACTTTCTGAAACCGGAGAATAGCGGGAAAAAAAGCATCCTACTTGCAATACCAGCGCGTTATAAAATATCGTATAAGCCTTTTTAAACCAAGCTTTGACAACGCGAATCCGCAGCAGTCGGTCAGGTCAAGCTTGACTTGAAGCCAAGCGTGTCTCAATTGCTGCCGTTGATGGCCATTTGTTTCAAACGGATCTTTGCATCACAGAAAAGAAAAACACAGACGCAACCTCGTTTTTTACTTTTAAGAACAATAGCAGGGTCCGTGCGTAGAGAGCACAGTGTCAAAGAGTGGCCACCGCTTTATATGCACTTGAAAGAGATCCTAAATCTCAATCAGTACATTCACAAACAAGGTACAAAAGTACTTCACAAGGTCGATCAGTACGCGAGAGATCGTTCTTTGTGAATTGGGATGTCATTACCCAACGAAAGATTAACCTTCCGTTGTAATAATCAAACATAGAAAGCTTCTCTTGTTGATTATTATCTTTTTGTCATTTTCTTATTGTAATATTTTAAAGAGAAACCCTCTTTTCTAGGAAGTTCCAATAGAAAAAGAGGGGAAAAACTCCTGCTGTCTCTTTTTTCCAGGAAGACAACAAAACCTGATCGAAGACGCAGGTAGTGAATGGTCGCTACGCAATGAGAGACCTTCGCCATTCACTAGTGGCGCCCGTGCCGTGTGTGCCCACAACGTCAACTAAGCACAAAGATACTTCAAGGTTGTTGTATTACGTTGATGCAGCCCTAGGGCATGCTTCCAACAACCTTGCTACCGTTGAAGCATCTTTCGGGTGAAAATATCCACCTCGACTCGGCGGATAGCTTTCCAAGTCAAGGATTCACACAACACTTTGCGCTTCATAAAGTTTGTGTAAATGGAACTGAAGAAGAAAAAAAAATGGGAGGGATGGGGGGTTTTTGGTATTGTTATTCAGACAATTTTTTTTGCCGTCACGCTCGGGTCTTCAATGAAATCCATCATTTTGATTGGCTCTCATTTGTAAGGCTCTGGTTGGCTCCTTTTATGGACCGCTTATATCATATGACGCAACTTGGCCCAAAAGCAAAGGGAAGGGGAAGGAGATGTGTAAGTGATAGTCGTCGTGAAGAAGTCAAATACGCTATAGCAGCAGTGATCGACATGCTATGTATGTTTCACCATGCCGATGTACCCTCCGATACTGTCGCCGCTTATTTTGAAAAGAAGCGTCAGTGCACGCACCCAGCCTCCGCGTCAAATACAGGTACGTTTCGAATGCCAACTTGTTGATACATCCTGTAGTTACTGGAAGTATTGCAATTAGACAATTGTCAAGAGCTCTACTATATAAAACATATTACCAAAGTTGTTGACTAAACTCTTATTTATCCGAATACACAAAGCTGTCTGTTCTCTCAAATTGAAAAACACAACTGCACAGCGGAAAATCTTATGATAGTATCCTTTGATACATAGTATAATAAACCTTGAAATTTAGGGTAGACTAATTATAGAAAAATGCATTTTCTATCCTTATTCTTGTTTTAATTTTATTGGATTATTAAAGAGTAGAAACTATAATCAAATGATAACTTTTATTCTCTGGAAGATGCTGTAATTTAAGGGTAATGGTTATTCTTTTTTGGAAGCGATGATTCACGAGTAATTTTTGCTATCTCCATGAGCCAAGAATCCTACTTAGATTTCGATAATAATTCATGCATCAATCCTTCAATTATAGTATCGGCTATTATGAGATTATTGCTGTGCGAATCCAATATTGAGAGGTATTTGTTTTATTGCAATGAGGAACTGAACAAAAGACTACACATATTCAGATATAACAAAGTGAGAGACACATACATGTATGTGTCAAGATATACAGTAAAAGAAATATACATAGATAAAGAAGAAACGTGATTAAAAAGACGTAGCAGGAAGTTATGTAAAGTTAGACATGTTGGGAAAAAAGAAAAAATGGATTGCAAGGGAAGAAGGGTCCAAAGAGTACCTATATGTAAACAGTATACGGTATATCATGTTAGTGAAAACGGCGGCGGCGGCGACATGTAGGCCGGTCTTGGTCTTGATAATTTTCGCTTCCAGGTCCCATGAAGAAAGGCTTTATCAGTACGTCATGCGCTAAGCTATCAAATTATTTGATGTCACGATTGGCCTACCTATTTGATGAGACAGTAGAATGTACTGAAGACGACGTTGTCGCATCGTCTGAATGCTGATGGCTGTCCGGATCCTGCGCGTTATTGAATGACGTTATAAAAGAAATAATGGTCAATGACATACACACGTAGACATAAAGATACTGTACATGCTGCGCATTGCCTTACTTGTCTTGACGCCGCAGCACGCTCTAAACTGACCCTTCGTTTACGATATTGGAATAAATAACCCCATTTGTACGCCATCAAAAAGGATGCAGCCCATGAGTTTTTACATCGATCAAGTCCTATACTCAAAGGCAACAAGCTATCTTCCAGGTCCTTGATGGCTTGAAGCTGCAAAGTGCGATCAATCTCACTCCAAGGAATACTGTAATCATTGACGCCGAGTGAATTGCGAAGGTTGTTAACGGATTCCATCAAAGCAGTATGCATATTGATGATGGCATTCTCAGCACCAACTTGGTCTGCGTGGAAAAACTCGCGGTGTATCATCCGTTCAATCACCCTTACGTCCAATTCAGCCGCACGCCTTCTTCCGTTTACGATCTGAAACGGGCGGTCAATATCTCTTCTCCTTGTAGAGCCTAGAAGTATCCCATCTTGAGTATCTTCTTGAAGCGGTGCTGGGCTTTCTTGGTCGCTGATGAGAGTGTCAATGGTTTGACGCATATTTTCTTGATTTTCTTGGATATTTGTTAAGCTGTTGATAAGTTCTCTTTGAGTTTCTTGAACTTGGTTTACGCTGTCAGTAAGTGATTCAAAGCGCTGGGAAAGAGATTGTATATTTTCAAGCAAAGCTTGAATAGTTGCTCGGGGAAGTGGTGCCATGTGAGAGAGAAAAGAGGAAGAAGAGCGGAAAGCGCACAGTTCAAAACGGCTGAACAATCTTTTTTTTATGTTTGCGCGTCGCCAACACGCGTTCCGCAGCTGTACCACCATCACTCCACTGTTCATTGCGATCTACGCGTTCCGCAGCTGTACCACCACCACTCCACTTTTCATTGCAATCTATATAAAAGAGCTCCGTTACAATACAACTTTTTCTCTGTTACTAAACAAATATATAATGACTTCTGGGCTGCCAAACAAGTATCGTAAACGCCAAAAGCGATCATTGAACCCTGGAGAAACCATAGCATGCGGTTGGTGTCGCCAAGCTGTTAATAAAGACTATTTCCGCACGCATGCAGCGCTTTGTCTTCGTGAATATCAGAGAAAAAAGAGAAGAACCGATGATTGCGCCGATTCTAGCTTAGTTTCGAGGTAATGCAGCTAGCACTTCGACATGGTTAATTAATTAACTGAACGTGTCTTTTTGCATCAGCCCATTACAGAGACAGCATCTCGAACAAGTACTTTCATCGCCCGATCAACCGGAAGATTCTATTGAACGTGAGAGTGATGCGGCGATCGTTAACGGGCATAGGATAGATGCTAGTTATTTGCAACAAAGTTACAGTACTACATTGCATGCATCAACAAGTTACTGTCACCCAAATGAATTACCCAACA